TAAGAGCTTGGTGTACGTGCTTGAGTTCACTGCCTATATGTTCCTGGTCGGATATGCATTGGGCTCTATGGTGCAGAGTCTTAAAAGAGAATTCTTCTGTGATGGATGGTGGTGGGAATCCGGTTTCAGATAAGCATCCGTATGGGTAGCTTTCCTGTAGACAGAGTGGCTCATTGAACCATCAGGTCTCTTTTTTATTAGGACATCCAAAAAAGGTAGCTTGCCATCTTTTTCGACTTCCATGGTAAATCTGATGGCTGGGTGTATGGAATTGATGTGGTCGAAGAGTTGGTCTAGAGCAGGCTGGCCATGTGGCCAGACGACAAAAGTGTCATCCACGTACCTCTTCCATAAGGTTGGGCGCAGAGTGGCAGTCTGGATGGCGCCAGTCTCAAATTTCTCCATGAAAATGGCTATAACCGGAGATAGGGGGGAGCTCATTGGGGTGCCCTCAGTTTGTTTGTAGAACGTTCCATTCCAAGTGAAGTATGTATTGGTTAAGCAGTGTCTCACCAGGGGGGGGGGGTACCTCAGTGTTTAGTCCTTGATGAACCAAGTCTTCAGTGATTGCGATAGTGTCAGGTACAGGAACTTTGATGAATAAGGAAACTACATCAAAACTGACAAGCAGGTCGTCTGGGGACAGGAAAATACACTTGATTGTCGATACGAGGTGAGTAGAATTTTGTACCGCAGAGGTGGTTTTTCCAGTGAAAGGCTACAGGATTTCAGACAGAAAACGAGCCAGTTTGCAGGTGGGGGAGTTGATAGTAGAGACGATGGGACGAAGGGGTGTATCTGCTTTATGTATTTTTGGTAAGCCATATAATCTTGGTGGCCTGGCAGCAGAAAGTTTTAACGAAAACTGTTTAGTTTGATCAATTAATGCGGTTGAATCAGAAATTATTTTGTTGGTTTGTGTGACGAGGCTGTTGGTGGGATCTCTTTTTATTTTTGTATAGCTGCCATCGTCGAATAATTCTTTAATTTTGTTGTTATATTCTATTTTATCCATGATGACAGTAGCATTGCCCTTGTCGACTGAGAGGATTACAATGTCATTCCTCTTTTTTAATTTATATAATTCAAAACGCTCATCTTTGCTGAGGTTGCTAGCTGGCATCTTAGCGTTTTTGAGTGTTGCAGCGATTTCAGATCTTGCTACGTCTGCAGCAATCAAAATTTAACCGTCTTTACGGGGAGGGTTTCCACATAACTTTAAGATACTTCAACAAACTCCGGGATAAGAAGGCTCAGCGGATCGAGTCTCTCACCTTTCTGAAGAGATGCCGCGACTCTGGGGTAATACCAATCGCATTTACACTAACCTCTGCTGCTGTAACTTCTTCTAATGCGAAACGAATTCTTTTCAAAACTAACTTAGCTCTTATCTCAGAGAAAATCAGACTTATACGCACCGAACTAAATCAGTTAGACAAGACACTCTACAAATCACACTTATCATTGATGGCAACAATGTCCACATCGGATTGGGAACATGTAGACAATATGACTGCCTCTTCAGCTGCTACGGTCGACCAAATGTAAGGACAACCTGATTTCCAAATGTAACCTCCTCTCCAACAAAAGACCGGACCCACACACCAAAAAGAGAGACGTTAACAAAGTCGTAATTAATCGCAGTAACAATTCTATTTCCGATGGTCTGAAATCCGTTTTAGCTAAAGGTCTAAACTTTGCAGTCACTCCTAAACACATTCCAGTTAATGATATAATTGCCCAAGTAGACGTTGCTCTCAGGGGCCTGGGTCACATCGCTGTAGACGTAGCAAGATCTGAAATCGCTGCAACCCTCAAAAACGCTAAGATGCCAGCTAGCAACCTCAGCAAAGATGAGCGTCTCTAACGCCGCTCTTCTGACTCTCGTGCGCACGAAGGTTGTTTTAGTTCTCATCCGATCTTAGAAGCTAAGCAGAGCAGAGCTTGGTTAATAATTTTAATAAAAACCCCATCTCAACAGCAATTGTGGCCTTAAAGGTAAAAAAAAGAGATATACTGTATATCATAGGGGACGTTTCAGGCAATGCCCCTTCTTATTATGGCCCTGAGTTATGCGAACGCTGAGGCTGTCGCTCGGTGGAAAAGGAACTTGCGATGAGACGTTAACTGCAGTGGTTCTCGCTGCGTTTGACTTTTTGTGCTTTTTGCATTTGCTATACAGTGAGTAGGGGAGATTTCGCATTGCCAGCACGATGTAATCGCACTGCAAAGAGAGGAAGCAATGTCCCAGCGAAGCAAATTACTCGCACGAGCCATCATCTTAAAAATAAACGGCACTATAAATAAACATATTTATGCTGTTACGGTGTGGGCTTTTTCATCTCGGCCGTGCACATCAAGGGAGGCCTTTTTGCTTAAAAAGAGTCCATTAATTTTCACGCGAGGTAGCAGGAGGTAACCAGTCTTATTGTGATCACAGGGATGAGCACATTGCGGTTGTGATCATCGATTAATTATCCGGCTGTTTCCAACATTATGCGGTGGTCCCGGGCCGATCCGGTGAAACCGCTCCAAAGGCTGTAAACTGTCTGACGATTGCTAGCACGTGTGTAACAAGCACAACAATTTGCTATGCCTGATTTCAGTGTCAAATATTATAAACGGTACATTATACACTACGTACAACTTAATGAAAATAGTGCACGTATATGCAGGAACCTGTGCAGAGTCTTCGAGATTGGAAGTAGTACAGTACATACGGTAACTTTTTTAGAGCAGGATATTTATTCTTGTCTTTTTGTATGTTTATTTATGCCAATTTCATATAGTAAACAAATTTTAAACACACAAAAATCCCATAATGTCACGCAAGAATGTGCAAAAGTAAGCTATTTTAAATAATGATGATTCGTCATGGGACCTCATTTGCCAGTACCAAAATATGAGAATAGGTTTTCCCCTTTTTTTCGGCAAAAACACAGGTGTTAAGATGTTAAAACACCAAAATGAAACCTTTTACAAGGAATCATGTCTGCATTAACCACAATACTTGTGGTCAGAATGGAAACAAAAAACATACTCTGATAATATATGTGGCATTGTCTTTGATGAAACTGATTGGTCCACACCAGAGACAGCTTTCTTTCGAGCCGAGTCTCAAAACGGTGTTAGACCAGAGGATGTTTTTGTTTGCAGACATGATTCCTTGTAAAAGGTTTCAGTTTAGCGTTTTAACATCTCAACACATGTTTTGTTGCCAGAAAAAAGGTGGGAAAACGTATTCTCAATGACGATTCGTGATTAATTATCCGGCGTTTTTTTAGGAAATCCGACGCCCTCTTCCTCCCCCGAAGCCACCGGATAATATAATCGATCATCGACTGCAGTTGTCATTTAGAAAAGAGAGCGAAAAGAAGACGACTGGAGAACCGGATTTGGCCATGTGAAGCAGCAACATTGATGTTTTTTTCTATCTAATGCACACCGTGTCCAACCATCACACTGCGTGTCGCAGCATGTCCTTCTGTCCCCCCCCCACCACCCTGGCACTGCTCAAATTTGGCAATCACTCACATTTTGATTTAAAGCTTTCGTGACTGCAGGGATTCATATTCTTGGCTCTTTCGGTTAAAGTCATGTAGAAGGGAAACAATAAAATAATAAAAATATAAAACAAGAAAATTCTCACGACGTTTCGACTGCAACACAAGCAATCATCATCAGGTGTGAAAACCACAGCAAGAAAATTTGAAAAAAAATTATTGCTGTGGTTTTCACACCTGATGATGATTGCTTGTGTTGCAGTCGAAACGCCGTGAGAATTTTATTGTTTTATATTTGTATTATTTTATTGTTTCCCTTCTACGTGACTTTACCGAAAGAACCAAGAATATAATCACTCACATCGTTTATTTTCCCAAAGTTATTATAACCCTTTTCTCAGCCACTGTGATTAAAACAAAAGCGACAGCCCTAGTAAATGTAACGTGAGAGCAAATGGCGTTGTGTCATCATCATAATCATTTGCATTTATTTGTGAGGCACCTTCCACTAATGTACGCTAATTGCTATGAAGGTGGCGATGAATGTCTAATGTAGATTTGCTGCTATGGGATTCTGCATTTAACAATACAATACGGATTTAAAGCTTTCGTGACTGCAGTAATTCATATTCTTAGCTCTTTCGGTAAAGTTTCGTTGAAGGGAAACAATAAAATAATAAAATATATAAAACAATAAAAATTCTCACGACGTTTCGACCATAACACAAACGGTCGTCATCAGGTGTGACAAGCAACGGCAAGAAACATCTGAAAGAAGTGGCGGTTCGCATTTATTTATTTATTTCAAAACGGTGTTTTACTTATTTATTAAAAAAACGTTTGCACCACGAGCAGCGATTTGACAGTTTGTTTAGAAGGACGAGTCCATCTATATTCTGAAAAGAGGAGGGGGGAGACGAAAAATTAATGTATGCTGTCTGAAATCCACCGTAAGCGTGCACAATCAATTAAGACCTGAAAAGGTTTATCAAATCTTTCCAATGATTGCTAAGCCAGCATCCATCTTCTCGGTGGAAATTGTCTCTGTGCTTGTATATGTGGATAGCCTCATGAACGAATCTCTCATGGTAGCCAGATGACATTGACTTCTCCAAGACAGAGGTTCTTTGTAAGCCATCTGGCTACCATGAGAGATTCGTTCATGATACAATTATCGTGAATCTTATGACTAATATATCGTATGATATATTGTAGTGTTGGCATATTGAGGCGACCAAAAATACCCACGTGGTCAGTGCAGACATATACTCACGCAGAGGAGAAAATGCCCAAGAATTACATAGTGTTATGTGTTCATACCTGAACATTAGTAAGTGTGAATATAGCTGAGGCATCATAGTCTGAATTAACTCTGACTTATTGCGATGCCTGGTGCATTCCTTGCATTTTAGACCTCCTAAAAGTGATCGCGGCTAAAAGATGATGACAATGATGATGGCGACCTATGAAAAAATAACGTTTAATTTCTCTTTACAGATGGTGATGTCAAACTGAGAATACGTGCGTCTAAACAAAACATTTTCGAGGGCGACAACTTTACCATATCTTGCACGAACTCCTCTGGATATTTAAATCCAAATTCCACCTTTTCCTGGGAGCTGCCGCCAAACATCGTCATCCCAGAGCAGCAGTTCTCAGAAAACAAGCAAACCATCAGCATCGTGTCAGTCAGCAGGAAGTATAATGGAAAATACAAGTGCTCCATCATTGGCACAAGCTTTGCAAGCGACAAGACCATTGACATTTATTGTGAGTAACCCAACAAACTGACACTCAGAGAAAGGCGTTCCTTGAGCTCTTTTAACCATATTCCTCTGAAAGATACCGCATTCCAGAATCACTACACAGTGGTATAGCAATGGAAAGGAAATGACTAAACGGTCCAAAATTCATACCGCTAACTCTACCGTATTCACGTATGCACTTAATGTTGAATGGCGATTGTTTTTGAGAGTTTTTCCCAGTGAGTAAATAATTTCATTCCCTTATAGAATTCATAATAACATTGAAGCGAAAACTCACCTCTTGTCTAAAGCCCTGTGGCAGTGGTGGAAAATTAACGTTCCTACGGCAGGAAGGAAACTGCACAGGACAGCCACTCCCCACGCGAAGTGGTACTAATTTATTTGACCAGTGAGCGATGATGGGTTGAATCAAAACCCCCAACCAGGAGTTGAGCTCACAACCTTCCGATCGCGAGCTGCTGCTGAGCCACCTGGCCACTTACAAAACTGCTCCATCCATAATAAAGGTTTTTGGGTTAGATCGCGTTATTTATAAATGTGTCGTAACCCTCCACCACCCGACACGGCCAATCAGCAAAAAAGTCTCACGTTGACAAAAGACAAATAGTTCACTACTTACAGTTTTTGAGTACTCAAAACTGTAAATGTTGTGGATTCACTCTTCAACACACCGGTGGGCTAAAGTAGTGAACTATTTGTCTTTTGCCAACGTGACACTCTTTTGCTGATTGGCCGTGTCGGGTGGTGGAGGGTTACGACACATTTATAAATAACGCGATCTCACCCAAAAACGTTTATTATGAATAATATTGGTCGCGAAAGCCTACGTGTTAAACGAACTACTCCATCACTTGCCGTGTTAGCCTTAACAGTTCCTCACAACCAGCACTTTGGCCGTGACGATTTGTGAGGCCAAAATGTGATGCATTTTTACATCTATTGTGCGCAGACCCACCACAGGACCTGAAAATAATGGCAGGCCACGGATCTCAACAGATATATGAGAAGTTACTGCATGTGTTCATCGCAGAGGGAAGCTCACTGACTCTAACCTGTGAAGCAGTCTCCAATCCAACGCTGGAGTGGTCATGGTGGACTTCGGATACTGATCTCAACAAGTTCACCAATGTTCTGTCCTTAAATAAACCGCAAAATGGCAGCAATTATACTTGCAAAGGCAAATATGAAATGGACAAACAATCGTACGAGATGTCAGCCAGCATCATCATTGAGGGTAAGTACTGTGTGAAAGATGTTTTTTTGGTTTTCAGCAGACTTTCTTGTTTTTTTGTCAATACCAAAATGTAATAAATAAGCCTAAATGCCCATGGCATTTTTGGGTCATTCAAATCCCTACTTTTGATATCCTTAACGTGTGCCTTTTTAATCTAATTTTCCCTCATGCATATCGTCAGTGTTTCGTACAAAAATACGTACAGCATTATTTCAATGCCTGATCGTGCGTTATATTCTTTCCCCGATGGTTCTGAGTTCGTGTCCAGTCGATTTTTTTATGAGACTCTACTCACTGCCGTGTATGTACTGTAAGAGTGCCTCATGCAGTTGACAGCCTCTAAACTATCCAGTGTTAGTTACATTGAGTACTGCCTGGCTAAGCTGCAACGATTTTGGTGGGCATACAGGAGCCACCATAGGAATGTGGAATTTCTCACTACGAGTGACAAATGTGCACACCGATGCGGGGAAAGAACCCCAGTCTCTGGAATTACCATCCCCACAGATGTTTCTCCTACCATAGACCAGATTTTAATTCAATGACCTGCCTTCCTTGGGTTGTACTTGTCAGTTGTTATTATATCCCACTCCTTTGTCTTTCAGTTGGTGGCATACACTAGAACTCTATTTCTTTTAGCCTTCGTGGAGGAGGAGGGTTAAGCTGTAGGGATTAGGACCAGGTTGTTGGGGTTTAGGGCTACGGTTATGACAACATTTTTGCCGGAGCTGCTTGGGGCTGATCTCAGGAAAATGTTTCCCTATCCCCACCCCCTTTCTCTTATTCTCTCTCGGGGGGAGCAGGATCCAGTGGGGGGGGGGGGGGGGGGGGGGGGGGGGGTGTTGGATGGTCCTTGAAGATATTCCATGAGAAATTAAGAAATTGAGCCCTAGTTATTTGACGGAGCATAAACCCAAGATTGTATAACCCATAATGCAACCCCCACATTGGCAGTTCATCTGACGCTTCCGATGTTGCAGAGTTGCAGCGTCCCATCTCGCACCGATGATTACTTCTAGCCGAGCAAAATGTCACTGCAGTGCATCTTTAAACGTGCTCACCCTCGTGTGTCCCTGTCCACAGTGCCTATCTCCGTGCCCACACTCACGACGAACAGCACAGGGGACGCTAAAGAAGGAGACTCGGTCGCTATGAACTGCTCGCACGATAACGGCACGGGGCAATGGTATGCCTGGACTCAGAATGGGCAGCCGATCATTGAGGTGAAAGAGAGGTATATTTTCTCTAAAGAAGGTGCCTCCCTGCTGGTGACGGACATTCAAGGGCGTGACAGCGGGGAGTACCAGTGCACGGTGCAGAACCATTTGGGCAGAAAAAGCAGCAACGTCTTCAAGATCAACGTCACGTGTAGGTTTCTCACACTGCCGTATGCAACCATCCACGAACACCACACGTACATGCACAACATCCCTGTTGTACATCCACTTCTGGATGAGGGACTCCCCACATTGTTCGGCATTGCGCTTGCTATTTGACTTTATTTTACCATGCTCGCCATAACGAAATGAATTATCGATGCAGGAACAAAGAAGTACAGTACGATTGACTTTTTTTCTGCACTGCCCTCTGCTACCCATGATGTATCCACACAGCCCTATGCTCTCCAGGCTCAAAGCCTGCTGAGCTTCTTAAATCTAATGGGATTGGGCGCATTCCGAGTGATCTGGTCATAGGTTCGTAAAACAGCGTGGATGCAAGTGTAGCTCTGTCTTAAAGTGCTGGACAGACACTGTCACTGACAAAATGATACAGATTTTTCATATCTTCAGTTGCTTTATTCAAAAATGAATGTTTGGATTCCATTGTGTGGCTTATGTAGAGCAACCATTAAAACATTTAGTTTGGAGTTATTTGGCCATTCAAATGATTTGAGGGTTGAATTACAGATACACCGCATTTTTAAATCTTATTTCAGGCAGTGTGAAATTTTGTGGTCCATGGTTTGGAGTTTGTAGCCACAGCCGGGCAAAGAAAATCCACAGCATCCTTGGTCAAGCGTTGCCCATTGTGACCTCGTAAATATGAAGCCATGCAGTGTGATAATTTCGTGTTGATGCAACAGCTTAATGGGAAGAATGATTCACATTCACAAGCCTGAATCATTGCAGTAGGCAATGCCCCCTAGTTTAGAGATGTGAGGAAATTCCTCTGGTTGAACAAATCTATTATTGAGTCACTCCTGTCCACATGGTGATGACATATATGGATCACAGGATAATGCAATGTTGAGTTAAATAACAGTCGGTGGACCTTGGTAGGGCATATTGGTAGGAGAGATGATCATTGGTGAACTAAACCAGTGAAGGAATGGCAGTCGAAGGAGAGCACGCCCCTGAGAGAATGACCATCGCAGACACGATGTGGTGATGAACTCGTGGACAGGTGATGGAATGTGCCATCGCAGAACCGCGGGGGATGGCGACGGTATAGTTCAGGAAGGCTTTCATCCGGCAGTGGATAAACAGATGATGATGACGACGATGATGAAGAAGAAGAAGCAAAACTAAAAACACACGGTAAAGTAAATAACTACTGCAATATCGTAGGCATGGAAGATTTTTAAAAAATGTGTTTTTAATGTTATCGTTGGATTGTTTTTCTCTCTCTCGTTTGTCCTTCACAGCTGAAAATAGGTTTATTTACATCGTAATCGCTTTAGTGGTGATTGCATTGTCGATAGCAGGCGGGCTGGGAGGCGTGCTGCTCTGGCGCAAGTTGACACACAGTAGATCGTAAGTCCTCCACAAGCACATTCTCGCATTCTCACGAACCATTCACCACGATTCATAAATATGCGCTCAACCGAAACATAACGGAGGGGTGGGTGACGGTGAAGTCTGAGTCTTGATCAGGGGTTGGCAAAACCTGGGGCTCTTCAAGGACTGCTTCGTGACATTATTCATTGAGGACCATCTCGTATTCACGTGCATTGCGGCTCTTTAAATATTGAGTTTCTTACCGAATTCGAAAAAAATGGCTCCTCTCGTTATTTTGGTTGCTGACCCCTGGTCTAGATATACTTGTTTTCCGTTGACGGTACTTCATGAACTGGTCAGTGTGGATTTAAATACCGTTGTCTCAAGGACTGATTCAAGGGGCGCCACTGTGGCGAGATGTTAACTACCTTGCCTGGTATGCAGGAGGTCGTGGGTTCGATCCCAACCGTGACGCCTGCTGTATATTTAGAGTTTGCATGTTCTCCTCGTGGTTGCGTGGGGTTTTTCCCCTCCACATTTAGAAACATGTATTTAGAGTATTTGCCCGCTAGAAATTTCCACCTGATAATCCACTTAGTTGAGCTTTCATTTGTGGCCAGGTCGCTTCTGAGATAAAATATATATATAGTTATAGTTAGCACCCTCCACGAATGTAAGCAATGGTCGGGATTGCCAAGTCCATAGCACTGTACGATGACTGCTGCCCCCAAGGCTCCTATAGCAATTTAAATAGTAAGAACGATATAATGAATGGTTAAAGTGACCACTGCTTGGCACTAAAATATGCTAACACTGTATTAATACTTTGGTACGGTAAAAAAAGAAAAATCTGTATCCCCAAATCTGTTGGTACTAATGACACGTCATTTATATCACTGAAAAGCATGTTTATTACATTTGTGTTTTCCTGGATTTGTTTTTTTGCCACAGATATGACCTTCTTAAGCAGATAAGAAAAATAAGCGAACAGCCGCCTAATCAAGAATTAGTGTGAATGTTGAAAACAGCATGAGAACCTGGAAGAGGGAGGGGTTACAACATTCCAATAAGATAATTCGCTAATCGTGCTCTTCTTTGATTTAGACACTCGGCACAAACGGCAGAGTAACCACTTTGCTCTGTGAGCGATGCTTTGGGAAGATTTGTAACAATGAAATCCGTTGCTATCTGTATTGTCAGAATTTCATTTTTGCGTGTGTACTTTTTATGTGTTGTGTTAAACAAGAGTGGCAGGGTGGCACAGCAGTAACACTTTTATGACTCGCGGTTGTTCCTGATAAGGGGCGCCTTTCTCCGTGTGGAGTTTGTACGTTCTCCCTCTGCGAGGGTTTCCCACGCGGGTTCCCCGGCTTCATCTCAGAAGCTAAAAGCAATTTGACGTAAATGGTATTGGCCAAACATCCCGATGGTGAAAACAGACCGGCAAATTACTCGATTGTGATTTCACATCGCAGCAAGAACTTGGCAGGACCCTCCTGCAAACCCGTTTTGAGACTCTTGAGGCTTTGCTGGGTAAACAAGCTAAAAAATTATAATCATACCAAATGATGATGATGCGGATGGCAAAAGCTACACATACAGAGTGCTTTTATCAACCCTGTTCAAAGGTGGGGGGGGGGGGGGGAGACCCGGGGATAAGCCATCAGCAGAGGCCTTCAGGCCCCTCTAGCCCACTGTAGGGGCTGCTCTCTGTGAAGAGACGAATGTTGATATTTTTTTCCCCAAAAAGGCCTCTTTGTGAGTCGACGCGGGGTAACGCCACTGCTGATCAATCAGAAAAGGATTGCTCGTGCAGCTTTCGCTATCAGTTTGTGAAAATCGATGGCTGTATTTTGATTCCCCCTTTCGTGTTGCAAGCTGGTGCATCATCCAAGATGAGTAGCGTGAATGGTGCAGTGCCCCGATTTCTGAATACTGTGGAGTGGCCTTGAGTTACTGGTGCGACCCGGTCAGCTCAGCCATACAACACCCAACACGATACGCATTATTAACGGCTTTCAACCCGTGGCTCGCACACCCCACCCTTAGCCGGAGGGGACAGACGCTTTACTAACTCCACATTGCCAAGAGGCATTGAACTTGAGATTTCTCTGTATTGCTGCCATAGTAACTGGGTGGAGGGTTGTGGCGGGGAGCAGTCACGGGGACCAGTGGTCTTGATTGAGGGTCCAGCATATAAAACAAAGGTTGAGAATCACTGAAATCCTGATGTAAAAATCAAGCGAGAGCTCAACTGCGGATATTTTGGAAGTACTGGAGCAGCGTCTAAAGTGTGGGGATACGGGTGAAATCAAGCGTAAAAAAATAAACCTTACGAGCCACGCCACTAGAACTTCCAGTAATCTTAAATGTGAATAAGGAAAACGACAACCATGTGGACTGTAAAAACAACATTTTGTACGTAAAAAAAAATCACTGTATGAATGCTCGAGAAGTTTATAGGAATCCATCAGTGAATTAACCAACCGTACTGGCTTGGTTAAAGTTATGAGAATGATGGATTTAAGTTTATTACAATACAATTTAGTAAATCTGCATTTTTGTATTTTTTTAGGATCATATAAACTGAACAGCAAGTAGTACACAAGTTAAAACGCAAAGCAGCATGAATCTGCAAAAAAAGAGAAAAAAAGAAATCATTCTGCGACAGAACACGCTATACCAAGGCGATTGTGTCATTGGAATTAAAACGAAAATATGATTTATTTTATTTTACCAGGTAAGACCCACTCGGCTATAGAGCTCTTTTTCAGAAGCGACCTGTCCACAAATTATAGCTCAATGAAGCGGCTTATCATGTGGAAATGTAAATCAGCCAAATTATGGTAGCCAGTAAAAATACAGAACTAATAACAATTTCCAGGGCAACTGCTGTACAATATCTCTCCCATTGGGGGAAAAATGGGTATCTTTAAACCTGAGTGAGAATAATCACCTTCAATCTAATTCCCCAGAAACGTCAAAGGAACATGTATGTAAACCACACACTCTGAATCATATCAAATGGGGAGGAAGATCAAATGGACAATAGGATTTATGAATAGGCAATTTTACATCTGCATTATAATCTGTACAATCTCGCTTAACAAAAAGACGTGTTGAAGCGGGGATGTCCAATACTACAGCCCAGGGAAGGTTATACAGAGGGATATTTGTCTTTTGGTGGTGTGATACTTCATTAATGGTGTACTGTATATATTGCTGCTGCTGCATGTGGGGATTGCGGTGTTTGATTTTCGAGGACTTTGTATATAAACTACTGTTGTAAATAAAAACGTTTTTAATAATAGTTTTGAATCCGTCTCACCAAGTTATTTCGATGCCACAAACCAGAAGGAGCGTGTTATGGTTACACAGTAAGCAGAAATGGAGGTTGAAGGCCTACAAGACAAGATTGCGAGGTCTAAATAACTAATGCAGCCAACATGCTATTAAAGCGTTGGGCCGTAACTTATATTCTCGAACAACATTCAATTTAAGTCAAGCTTCAGTTCAATATTCACGGTGTAATAGATTTAAAACATGTGATGGAGCATTACCACGTGATACCATCAACAATATGAACTGCTATATATAGTCTATATAACTTAAAATATATTAATTGCTTGCAACATGTATTTATTAAAATATTTTAATTGAAAAAGAACAAATCAAACATAGAACAATTGTTAAGTTAAATAAATAAAGTAATAATAAAAAATAAAACAATTTCAATAAGAAAGCAATAGGACTCTTCAAATCGCCGCCTTTGCGATTTGCTAATCGCATTGTTTCAAATTGCGATTTCGATTTGAAATCGATTAATCGTTCAGCCCTACCTTGAGGGCAGCAGCTTTCAAGAGTCCGGGTCCCCAGGTCACGGGTGGTTCGCCACGTGGCCATCCACGTGGCCTGCGGGCTGGCATGCAAATGCAGGTTGATCGGAACACGAATGACTATTTACTTATGATAAAAATTTAGTTATGGAAAACTACCCTGATGGAACTACCATAACGCTAATATGTAAATCCCCCCCCCTCCACCGCAACCATGTTGCTTCTACAGTAATATGAATGTGTATTGCATTCCTGGTATTTATAGAGAAGTGAATGCGTTTAGTCTGAAGATGAAGCGTGTTGGTCTAACCTCATGGAATGCTGTAATGAATCAGAATCAGAAAGGGTTTTATTCGCCATGTAAGTTCACACCGACACGGAATTTACTTTGGCAGGATGGTGCATACATTCAACATATAGGAATCTAAAATCTTAAATAAGTTTTAAACAAGTCTTACTATAATAAGGGTTAAAAGTCTAACACCAAGGGGCTGAAGTATATAAAATTAAATAAATATCGAATATAAAATAGCTTTAAGATATAATTTAAAAATAAAAAATACAAATAGGGTAACATAGTTAATATCGGCAAGGTGTCGTTATGTAGATCAAATGTTAAAAACAGTGTTAGCCCTTGGCCTTGTTTAACAGGCCAGCAGCAGATGGGAAGAAACTGTTTTTATGGCGTGAGGTTTTGGTCCTGATGGACCGCAGCCTTCTGCCGGAGGGGAGTAGCTGAAACAGAGAATGTCCAGGGTGGGAGAAATCGGCCATAATCTCCTCGCTCGCCTCATGGACCTTGTCGTGTGCAGGTCCTCGAGGGTTGGTAGATTGCAGGCAATTACCTTCTCAGCAGTGTGGATGATACGCTGCAGTCTGCTCTTGTCCTTGGCAGTGGCAGCAGCGTACCAGACGGTTATGGAGGAGGTGAGGATGGATTCAATGATCGCTGTATAGAATTGCACCATCATTGTCTTTGGCAGGTTGAATTTCTTCAGCTGCCGTAGAAAGTACATCCTCTGTTGAGCTTTCTTGGTGAGGGAGCTGATGTTCAATTCCCACTTGAGGTCCCGGGAGAGAATAGTGCCCAGGAAGCGGAAGGACTCTACAATTTTGACTGGGGAGTCTAACAGGGTGATGGGGGTGAGTGGTGCTGTATTCTTCCTGAAGTCCACAACCATCTCAACTGTCTTTAGAGCATTTAACTCTAAGTTGTTCTGGCTACACTAGGTCACCAGATTGTCAGCTTCCCACCTATAGTCAGACTCATCCCCACCAGAGATCAGCCCAATGAGGGTGGTGTCATCCGCAAACTTCAATAGTTTGACGGACAGATGATTGGAGGTGCAGCTGTTGGTATACAGGGAGAAGAGCAGAGGGGAAAGGACGCAGCCCTGAGGAGTTCCGGTGCTGATGGACCTGGAGTCAGAGACTTGTGTTCCCAGCTTAACGCACTGCTTCCTGTCAGACAGGAAGTATGTGATCCATTTACAGGTGGTGTATGGCACGTTCAGCTGGAAGAGCTTGTCCTGAAGCAGGGCATGGATGATGGTGTTGAAGGCAGAGCTGAAGTCCACAAACAGGATCCTGGCGTAGGATGCTGGGGCATCCAGATGCTGTAGGGTGAAGTGGAGGGCCATGTTAACTGCATCGTCCACAGACCTGTTGGCTCTGTAGGCAAACTGAAGGGGGTCCAGGAGAGGGTCTGTGATGGCTTTGAGGTGTGCCAGGACCAGGCGCTCAAAATACTTCATTACCACAGATGTAAGGGCGACCGGTCTGTAATCATTTAGTCCTGTTGGCCTTAGCTTTTTGGGCACAGGGATGATGGTGGAGGACTTGAGACAGGCTGGTACATGGCATGTCTCCAGGGAGGTGTTAAAGATGTTGGTGAACACCGGAGACAGCTGGTCAGCGCAGTGCCTGAGGGTGGCTGGAGAGACAGAGTCTGGCCCGGCTGCTTTGCGTGGATTCTGCCTCTTGAAAAGTCTATTAACTTCTCCCTCCTGAAAGCATGCTCAGTCCTGCCCCAAAACAACAACCACTCTCTCCCAGACTTCTATGGACGTTTGAAAACTAATTTCTTTAGAACTGCTTTTTGTGTTTAGTTTGTTGTCTTTCCCCCGTACCTCCGATTGGCACCGTACAGTGCGAAAAAAGTTCAACAGGCATACATGGACAAAATGAGCTACTGCCAAAACAACCCATTCAATCACGCAGTACCACTGATCGGCAGTTGTCAATGCCCTCCTGGCATCTTAAAATGACAACCTAGAATAGAAGATGGACCTACGTGCTGTCAATGTCCTGTGATAACACAGCAACGATTGTTGACTCGCTCGTATTGGTATAGGTTTAAACCGTATTTTTAACAAATAAAAATCAGGGCAAGGTAACACAGGTGCCTCAATCCATCTGACTTTCGAAGTGTCAAACGCTTCTCGCGCTTTTGTAGACCCAGGCAAATTACAAACCATCACAGTATAGTTAAACACAGTGCTTTGTGCGTTCCGAGCCGTTGTATGGTTTAAAGGCAATCGACACGGAACTCGTTTTACTGAATGCTTGGCCCTGGACTTTCCACACAATCCTTTTGGGTAATGACCTCAAACCCCTAGAATTGGACGGGTCCCTCCCATGAACATTTGCCATGAGACGTATCGCAGGGCGGCTTTAAAAAAAATTGTTTGCTCGCTTCAAGCTCGGCATGATGCAAAACATGACCCGGTGTCCCGACAGAACTAAACACGGGACCCCGAGATAAAATCGTACCAGTTTGGCCAGTTTGTATCTGCGGGTGACTGCATTTTGTGCAGACGGATATGTTGATTAAGCTGGGCTTGTCACGACATAGTAGTACTGTATACCATCATAGCGGCCTCATTTACGAAGATGCTATGATTCATTTGCACCTACTGGAAGAATATAAATTGCACAATGCCACATCGGAGTTGTGTACAACTAACGAATGTAGGCTGACCAAACGTGAATGCGGAATTCGTGCGTGTTTTCGGTGTGCAGCAGTTGATGAGTGAATGGAGGGGGAAAAAAGTTACTTCGCTATTCGATTGTTTTCATGGCGATCCGGTTTGTGTTAAGGCTACGGTCATCTCGGGTCATTAAAAAAAATCATTCTTGTTCCATATATGTACATGTCTCCTAATTTTTGACGAATGCGCTGCTCCTCCTAGTGGGATCGTGGTACTCAAAAAATGAATTTGTAAGCTTAGGATCGCGTGCCGCTTACTGAACTGTTGAGCAACAGCACAGTGTTGTGGCATTGTTGTAGCGTGAGAACACAACCGAATGCCATCATCATCAATCACCACCACATCAAAGATAAAGATCCCCAGGTGTAGCCTGGACAACCTGTTGGGTGGCACGTGTTGTGAGCACCTTATGAAGGGCGGTACGGCATTAACGAGGGGGGGGGGTGGGTGGCCAACACCGCGGCCGGCCGCCTTTGTCTCCCCAGTGGCGATGTTTACACACGACACACCAGGCACTCATTTGAGGCCGAGTCGATCAGGGGGAGCGGGAATCGAACTCGGGCCGCCGGGTTCGTAGCGCAGCGCGCTAACCACTACACCACCGCTCCCCATCACACGGCTTTGTCATCAACGTCACTATAATTGGAACGAGTGCGAGTTTGTTATTGTCCAGATTATATTTTTAAAAACCCATTGTTTTGGAGCGCGTAACATTTGCGAAACGTGTTTTTGACATGTTAGTGGATAAACAGCGTTGATTTAAAATGTGCCGAAACATTCAACCCGGCTTACCGACGGTTTCGATTTGCGACGGCTATTTGAACCTTACGGCGGGACCCCGGGGTCCCGAATAAACGGGAGTCAAAATCGTAATTAAACTAATCTATTTTTGGCGACTCCGTCACACCGTGCACAAACGCCGCGACCCACCAGAAATCAATCCTCTCGTTCTTCACCAAGCACCCGTCGTTCACTAAATCGCCGTAGTCATACACACACAACTTTGAAACTGTAATCAGCGCATCGTGTAGAGCTCGAGGGTAATAGATTGAAGGCGAACGACACGGCAACAGACATAAAACGATGTCGCAAGGCACTTTATGCGAGAGCCGGGGACTTATGGGACCCCGGGGTCCCGCCATAAGGTTCATTTAGGGCCGCCGTTTTATAAAGTTATGGCTGAGAAACTTCACATACACACACACGACCCAGCTGCTTCCTCCTCCACACGACTCCCTGTGAAGTGCGATGTTTCTACCGTGCAACGTCGTCAAGAAAGTCAGCGAGGGTCATTTTTATTTCTTTCAAAAAGGTCAAGCCACTCAAGCAGAAGGAATACATTGGAATACATTTTAAACGACCAATTTCAGGAAAAAAATTGCATGTTCAGCACTGCACTGTACACTTAACACTAGTGGTCTATGAATGTATGGCACGGGGAGACCGTTTTCTAACATTTAAAAAAACCGCCACTTTTTTCAAAGTTTCTTGC